CCTCCAGTTTTAAAACCCTACAATCCTGTGAGCCTCTTCATTCCCAATGTAACCCTGACCACTGCTGTTTGTTCCAGATCACCTAAAACCAACGGAAACTGAAAACACAAAGCAACCTTCAAAGAGCTGCCATGAACCCAAAGGTTAGTTCAAATCAAAGGGCCAACTTCAGAATCAAGGGTTAAAGCAAACTCTGTAGTTGTACACTGGGGCCAAAAAGTATCAGATTTCAAAAGAAAACACAAATGATGCTGAGCCCAGTTGGCTCTGTGGAGCCTCTGACTCTCCCAGCAGAGCTTGCCTGGCTGGGTGTCAGCAGCAGCCTAAGGTCTCTGAGGGCTGTCTGGCACCACGCTGGGCTTGCAGGCCAGAAAGAATTAGGCAGACTTGGGGTCGGCTGATATCAGTGTTACAGGCCCAATTTCTGGAAGGGAATTTAATCTCTCCCTGAAGCCACCCTCTTCACTCTTGTTCAACCATAGTTCATGCCGAGAAGGTGAACATGATGTCTCTCACAGTGCTGGGACTACGAATGCTGTTTGCAAAGAGTGTTGCCATCAATTTTCTCTTGACTGCCAAGTTACTTTTCTTGTAAGGTAAGAATTAGCCGCTTCTTATTCCTATCTCTACCCACACTGTCCTGCACATGGGGAAAGGGGATTTAGAAATGGTAAGAAACTAAGAAGCATTGGAAAAGGAAAATAGAGACATATTTAGAATTAATAAGGTAGGCTATCTCAGCTACTCAGCAAAACAGCACCCCATCTCCTGTTATCCTTTCATTTTAAGTCAGACTGAAACCCATTAGGTAGTATAATGTACTATTTTTCTAATACACCAGACAATAACCCTCACTTTCACCCCAGGGAGAAAACAGAAGATAAATAAAGAGAATTCATCTTCTTTAACTGCTATTTTGTTCATTGACCAAGAGGCCATGGGTTATTTGCAAGACCATAAGTAAAGCTTTGCCTGAAGAATATCCAGAGGAAGCAGAGCCTATCTTTGTCCTGATAAAGGGAATGCCAGCTCACACTCCTTAATCATAGGACCAGCCTGTCTATGGGTGGATCAGCCTGTCTTTGGGATGAACCTACACACAGCATTAGTAGTGAACAGCTCACTATTACCTACTCAGGATGCATACACAGTTAGGTCTGAGATGTTAATTATTTGCCTGTTACTTGCATTCCTTTCTCAGATAGTCTCGTACACGAAATTGAAACCAGGGCCTGGGTTTGCATGTGAGGCTCCTCCCCGTCACTCCTTCTGCAATACTCACAAATGCTCATCAACCCCAGCTCCTGTTCTAAGAACAACCCTAGACTTAGAGTACTTGACTGACCTGACCCAGACAGTAAACATATCCAGTCATCTCCAAATGGGTGTCCAGCTCACCTGTTATTTTACTAACAGTCCCAGGGACACAGGCAGTGTGGCTGGATAAAAAGAGGGCTATGCTAAGAGTCAGAAGATCTGAGCTTTATCTTGATTTTGACATTAACTTACATGTTACCTTAGCCAAGTTGCTTCATCTCTCTGGGCCTGGGTTTTTGCATCTGTAAAACAAATAAGTTAAAAAATAATAACAACCAAAGGAGAACAAAAGAGTTTCATGACTTATGCCAACACTGATAGCCGAACCAGCTAAGCTATTGCCATGTGTAGATGGAAAATGAGCCACAATAGATTAGTGATGTCTGCAATGGCATAGCATAGCAAGTACTGGCCACCCCCAGACTACATGACCCCTATGATTCCTTCTAGCACTGGCAGTCTATTCTATAACAACTTTCTTTACTTGCAGGCTGACTGGCATGAGGAAGCTACACTCCTGAAGAAATCAAAGGCTTACAAAAATGCATCTCCTTGGCTTCTGACTTCTTGATGATTCAAGTGGACCTGTCATAGCCTTGTTAAAATGGCTGCTAGCCCAACCAATTTTTCTTCGAAGACAACAAACCCAGCTCATCCTCCAGCTTGGTGGGAAGACAAAAGTCCTGGGGAAGGGGGTTTATGTCCTAACTGATACAGGGATAGAAGGTTACAAAAAGATATAGGACACTTTTTTTACTCCTACAACTGATACACTTTGAAAATGATGTTTTGTTCTTTTTGACTTTCTTTACCTTTTGAAGTAGAAAGTGAGAACCAAAAGGTTCACAGCTTCATTCCTCATGAGGAAAATAGGCCCTGGGAGAAGAAGAGCAGGTGCCCTTTTATCTAAACATGGAAGACTCTGCTCAACTGAGCACTGGATTTGCTACAAACCAGCATCATCTTCTTCCTCCTGCCCTCACAGCTTGTCCCATTCTCTATGTTCACTTCAGGAGCCACACTAGAGATTCTGCATGGCGTGGAGGGGGGCAAAGTTTTAGCACTTTCTGCATCTCCTAGTACTTTACAAATGAGATTACATTTGAATTCGCTAATACTTTATGAGCAGGCAATGGGGTTTCCAAAATCTCATCTAAATACTCTCCAGACTATTAGCAAAAATCAGAGTAAAATACAGAGGAAAGGCACTGCTTTCTGTTAATTCATTTAACATGCATAAATTAGCTCGCTCTGAGTTCCAGGCACTGTACTGAGAGTACAAAGAAGACATAAGTCTGCTTTCAAGCAACTCCCTGTGAAAGTGTTTTTGAAGGGAGGAACAGAAATGAGACCCCTATCTTTCTCTACAAAAACAACATTTTTACTGTCTTTTGCCTGCCAATCTGTGTTTGAAACCATTGCACACTGATTCTCTGGCCTGGTACCTTGGTATTGATGGTTTTCTGCCTTTCTTCTCAGCCCCTGTCTCTGTTGCATTTATTAAACTGCATTGTGTGCACCTTGCCTCTGCCTTTACTCTTTGCAAATCACCACAGGGGGAAAGGCAGCTCTGTGAGCTCACTATTAGTCAGCCAAAAGCCAAACTGAACTTACGCATCACACCACAGTTTCCTGAGCCCCAAGCCTACAGAGGCCCTGCCTTGGAGACCCAGCCTCGGGTTTCCTGCTGCGTCTGCTGATGCCGCTGTTACAGCAAGAACAACAGCAGCACCTGCAGTGTGGCCAATGACCTCTGCTACTCCCACGTCAGGAAGGCCACAGCTTTGTCCAGGAGCAGGGCTCAGGGCCCTGGCAACCCATTATTGTGGTTCCTCAGCACCTATGTGGAGTGTCAAGCGAGGGTTTATGAGGTAACAAGTGAAAGAGTGACTGTCGCCAACAACTCCCCTTGCCATGACCGACTGCAAACTCCCCCATCATGTGTACTACACCTTGCATGTGTAAAGAACGCTGATTTCCAAAACATTCACAAGTTACCTTGTGTAATATTAGGGTGTTTCTTCTGAAGTTATTAGGGAAAAAAAAGATCATATTCTCATTTTTCAGATTAAAAAAATTCCCTCTCCTCAAAAAAAGTATGTACCTTGTCCAGAGTCATTCAGTGAGGCAGGGATATTGCTGGGAGTAGAACCAAGGTCTCAAGATTTTCAGTACGAAGTTCCTGCTATAAGAACACATTGCATCCCCAAATGGGGACAAGATGTCAATGTGAGTATCAGCTAGAATGAACTTCAGGATTGTCCCATATTTAACATATAAATGAGCCACCCTCTAGCCCACTATGCCAGAAAAATAAAACAAAACAAAACAAAACAAAACCTGGCATATCACAGGACCATGAATTTCTCAAACCAAAAGGAGCCTCCAGAGAAGATTTAAGGCAAGAGCCAGGAGGAATTATGGCTGCCTTCTGATCTGGGGCCATGATATATGAACTGTGAGATGGACATGTGACATACTCAGTAGGCATTAGAACAGAAGCCCCAGAAAGCCAAGCCACATGCCCAAGGCCTTTGGCTCCCTCATCCCCTGTTCTTTCCATTGCTCCATATAGTGGCTACTCTTGTCCAGTGTTTCTGAAGAGTACATAAACTGCTGCCCAAACCACTCACTGATAGAGCCACCTAGGGTGCAGCTGCAGGAGAGAGCCCTGGAAGTGTAACGCTGCATTTCTGGGCCCGTCATTAGCCAGATATACGACTTTGAGAATGTCCACCATGTCTCTGGACTGCAGTGTAGTTTCTATAAAATAATGTGCAAAGCCTCTTCCATTTCTAAGAGTACATCTAATACCTCTAATAATTCTATTAAGGCAGATAATTCAAGAAAAGAGGAAGGAGGGACTCATTCCCAGGGACTGAGGGTATGTATCTGTTTCAACACCGCATAGTCAGTTTGCCCCAGAGGAAATTTTCTCTGCTGGAGACACCACTGAGCTCCAAACTCAGGGACTTGGCAGCTGGAATTCTGGAAGTCACAACTTTCCAGGAGAGCCTCAGTGCTCTTCAGTGGAAAAAAAAAGAAAATGTTCTCCAAATAAAATAAGTAAAATAGAGGTGTCAAAGAACATCAAAGAAGGTGGCTGGATATAAAAAGATGCAAAAAAAAAAAAAAAAAGGAAATTGGTGAAAAGTCTTTTAAGTAAATAACTTTGTGTCTAACTTAATTTTTTTTTTTTTGAGACAGAATCTCATAATCTGTCACCCACGTTGGAATGCAGTGGCACCACCTCAGCTCACTGCAACCTCTGCCTCCCAGGTTCAAGCGATTATTGTGCCTCAGCCTCCCGAGTACCTGGGACTACAGGCGCAAGCCACCATGCCTGGCTAATTCTTGTATTTTTAGTAGAGACCGGGCTTCGCCATGTTGGCCAAGCTGGTCTTGAACTCCTGGCCTCAATTGATCAGCCTGCCTCAGCCTCCCAAAGTGTTGGGATTATAGGCATGAGCCACCACATCTGGCCCTAATTTAATTCTGAAATGAAAACAGACCTATTCATAATAATGGATAAATGATGGTGGTGACTAAAATAAAGACACTGCTGGCGGCCTCACCTTGATGGGCCCTTCACCTGCACCTGAACCTGCATTCTGAAACCCTCACAGGAAATGCAGCACAGGCTTGTCAAGCCCCATTCTGTATCAGGGCTGACCAGGGCACTGGGGACACAAAGACAATGCTCCCTAAACATGCAGTTCTCCCTTGCCTACCAGGAGTCATTCAGGTGGCAAGGGCCCACTGAGTCAGAAGTGGGGAGATGTTCTGCTTCTCTGAAGCCAGGGTGCTCCCCTGGATCTGACCAGGCCATTTATTTCTCAGAAGACACTTTAGGTCACTTCTAAAGGCCAGGCTGGAACACAAAATGGCTAAGAGAAGGATGCCAAGTCCCAGACATGACCCACCCTGAGAGGTAGCTCTGCTGAGCCATGCCCCAGGAGTTTGTGTTAAGACTTCCTGGGCACCTGCATCATCGTGCTCATGGCACAGTAGTAAGTGGCACTGTCTTCAGTACTCACTGGAGAGATTACCAAGTGAAAGGCTTTCTGGGTCAGAAGGTGCTTCACAGAAAACCGTCCTTTAGCAAAATATGAACCGTGAGATCTGCTTTTATCCCCATAGAAGACAAACTGAAAATTATAATCTGGCCTTATGCGGTACCAGAATAAACCTGGATCTGAATATGTACTGTCGTAAGTGCAGAGCAGTACCACCTCACTGCCACTCGCCACCATCTGGTCCGGGGAACTCTGAGTTACTTTGTCACACAGCATGCCCCTGTCTGTGAAAAAGACAAATGAGGAAATAGTGAATTCTGCACCCCCTAGATACTGAGTACAGGCCATGCCTAGCCCAGAAGAACTCAATGAGCAGAGGCAAGAGAAGGACACAGAAATAAAGCGAAAGGCAGAAAATAACCAAAAACCAAGAGTGCAAGAGAAAAAGCCTTCAAGAGTCAGAGAAGGAGAAATGGGGTTATGGAACAAGTGGAATGTAAACAAATGAATCTACTTACAGAAAAACAAAAAGCTAAAGCCCACAGTAAGAATCATCTTTTCTTCATACCAGGGCAGAGGATATACAACAAAACAGGGTTCCTAAGATCTCAGAGACTATCTGACGGTTCTAACAAAAGAAGACGGGAGGAAGAGGAGACTGGCAGCCCTGATGGTCATGTGACTGATTCAGCCGTGACTCCTAGAGACAAATGGGCTCAGCCGAGGAAACTGCTATTGCTGTTATGATTTTGGCCCCAGTCCATCTTGAACTAATATATATGGCAACGAAAATTGATTACTTTAAAAAAAAAGAAAAGAAAAGAAACAGAAAGGAAGGGAGGGAGAGAGGAAGTGAGGGAGGAAAGAAAACAGCAAGTCTAATGATGGCGTTCTTGGATATCCAACTGCTGCAAAAGTAGTTCACTCTCCATTTCTGTATCCTCTGGTCACAGACTGGTGTACTAGTCCATTAATCACATGTCGTACTTTGAGCGACACTGTCGTATAGCATCTAGCACAGCTCCACACACTTTGTTCTATTCAATAAATGGAATAAATGAAAGAGTACCTTGGACAACTCCCTTACTTCTCTGTGTGAAGAGGGAAGAAAGGGATTGGACAAGATCCTTTCTAAAATCTGCAATAGACCTGAATTCCAGAAATCTTTGATTTCAGATGCTTGACGGAGTGTGCTGATCCTAAGTGCTTCTTGCACTTCACCAGCTTGACTTTCTATCTCTCACTGGGCCCACTGCAGAACACACTTGGCTCCAGCTGGAAAATCCTGAACAGAGCTTCCTGGCGGGTGAACTGCCATGAGTGGGTTACAAGCTTGCTGAGATAGGGTTCAGAATGCCCGTGTACCTGGGGTGAGTGGAGCCCCTGAGCCAGCCCCTCACAGCCAGAAGCCCTACAAATACGATTTTGCACGTAAGCCATGAATATGACAACAGTTCGGAAGCTCTGCTGTAAAAAACAGAACACGGACTAACTCACTCCCCAAAATGCAGGAGTGTTTCCAAGAGTATTTCTAGAAGGTCCTTCATTTCCCTTTTTCCCTACATCCAATTCTTCAGTAAGAACTGTCAGTTCTACCATGAAAATATATCTCCAGTCTATCTACTTCTTCCATCTCCACCACCACCACCTTCTATAAACACCATCATCTCTTACAGGGACTGCTTCGACAACGCACTAACTGGTCCCCTTGCTTCTGCTCTTGTCCCTGGACAATCCATTCTCCAGTTCTTCATAAAATGTACATCAGATGATGACAGCTGGACCTCCTTCCCAGGCCTGTAACATCTGCAAATGATCTGGCCCTTGCTTCCTCCCCAGCCTCACCCCACATCTGCTCCTTCTCTTTCTTCCCTTCAGCTGCAGTGGCCTTCCTTCTCATCCCTTCTATGTCTTCTTTTCTAGCTGCCTGAAACTCCATCTCCAATTTTTAACAGTTCTCAGCTCCAACTAAATTAGTCACCCATCCCACCTGTCACCAACCTCAATTACATCTCTGGTCTTATTTTCCCTCACATCAGTATCTGAAATCATCAGATTCAGGCATGTTTATTTTATGCCTCTTCCATCTCACCTCTCCCCTACACACACACACACACACACACACACACACACACACGATAATATAAACTATATGAGGGCAGGGAGCTTATCTTTTCACTGATATGTCTCCAGCCTCTAGGCTTGTGTTGACCACATCACAGACAATCAGTAAATATCTGTGTAAAAAAAAAAGAATACAATTTCTTCACTTAAAAACTCACCATTCACCTAGATTTAGCAAATAAAAATACAAGACACCCAGTTAAATGTGCATTTCATATAAACAACAAAAATTTCAGTAATATGGATAGTTGGGACATGCCATATTTGGAACACATTTATACTAAAAAAGTATTCATTGTCTATCTGAAATTCAAATTCCACTGGGCATCTTGTGTTTTATCCGGCGATGCTAGGCATGCAGAATACCAAAAGTAAGCACCAGGCAGGCCAGAGTCCCACCATGAGCATCTTCAGAGCCCCTGGATGTGGAAGAGGGAGATTCAGGGCCCAGGGGCTGCCTTACCGGTGCATTGACTGCCCATGCCTGCACTGCCACCTGCCGGCAGGGGTCCAGTCCACGAGACCCAGCTCCCTGCTGGCGGAAGTCCATTTCAGAGCTTCCGGTTCTTCCAAGCCCAAGGATTCTGTTCACTTCCCACCCACAGTCTATTAGTGTCTGTCCCTGCTCTAAAGATGTTGTCTGGGCTTGATATTTATGTGAGAGCTGACTGTTCCCTTCCTGATCTAGACCATAACCGTCTTCAAGTTAAATTGCTCCTCCTCTTCTAACTGCCCAACCTCAGGTACAGCTGACCATACCCAAGCACAGAGAAGTGGGTTTAATGGACCTTCACACAGAGGGACACATCCTCTCCTATAATGCTTCACACAGAAGGTTGAGACATAACCTGAGCCCTGCTTGGGGTAGCATCGTCATGACTCTTCTGCCCTGGTGTCCTTGCAATATTCCTGGAAAGGCATCCTTCCCCAAAGGAAGGGCAGGCACTTAGCACAGCAGTGCAGTATAGTGGCTAAGAGTGGGATCCTGGAGCCAGCCTGCTTGGGTTCATATCAGCACCAGCTTTTACCAGCTGTGTGACCTTAAGCATGCCCTAACTCTCCAAGTCTCAATTTCTCCATCTGGAAAATGGAGATAGTAATAGCTTTTCTCACAGGACTATCGGAAAATTTAGTGAGGTCACACATGCAATACACCCAGCAGATAAATAACCTATGAATGTCAGGTATTGCTGTTACATATTTAATTTAAATGTTGCCATTTTTATTAAATAGACATATGAATAGAGTTCCTAAGAGTGTTACGCTCATCAGTGCTGTTCAGGGAAAAGATGCTGAGTAAATCTAAATTTTAAAGTTGCAAAATCTTGCAAAAGATTGTTGATATGTTGTATCAATCAATGGTTAAAAAAAGAAAAAGACTGACGTCTTTAATTTGCTGTCAGTGCTGCAAGCATGTCCTAGAGCTCTGTGATCCCCTGAGACATGAGCCAGCTGTGCTCTCCCCCAAGTCCGTAAGAGCATTAGGAGCATGAGAAGTGAGCCTTCCAGCCCCTTGGTCTTACGTCTTCCAAACGTTGCAACAGGCTTGTTCATGAGAGGCCACAACACATGATCAAGTGACCCCACCACTGTAGAATAGGAGAGAGTCTCAAGATTCAGTGGCCCACTAAGGACGTATTGCCCCTAAGTTTCTCCACTCCATCTTCCTTAAACCTATTGGCGTCTGCAGCCTGCGCCTCTCCCCAAGGTGCTGAGGGTCCTGCAGGCCCCACTCACCCTGCAGGCCCCACCTGCCCATCAGTGAAGCAGGGCTGCCTTTCATTAGCCCAAAACTGCCGCTCAAGAGGGGCCCTCAGACCAGGTGGGAGCCAAGAGATTTGGCGAACAACGTCACCCTTGTCCCACAGCTTGGATCTTGATCACTCATATCACTCAGAAGAGGGACTTTTCTCTCTGTTTCCTTTGAGGTGGGCAGCTTTGTTTTTGACCTTGTAGCGCCCTCTGCTGCTACTAATTATCCCATCTCCATAAATAGGTCATACTGGAGGTTGATAGAAAATAGGTCAGGGAAGGAAAACATTCTTTGTTCACAATTCAAGTCAAAGCTACTGCTTCTGTCTCTATTCCCTTTTCAACTCTGAGACTGGTAGCTGCTTCTCTGTCAGCCCAAAGGGACTATCCTCCACCAGTCACCCAAAGAGGACTGTCTTTAAGGATATGAGATAGCACCATAAGAGGACAAATGGACATTTTCTTGTCTACAGAAAGCCTAATGCAACAGTAGAGGACATAGGGAAATTTATTTGGATGGATACAGACAAGTGCATCTCTTTCTTGTGAAAGAATAGAAACATGATTAAAAAGGAAAAGCCTAGAAACGTCTGAACGTATGGAAATGGGGGTGAGTGGGCTAGAGAAAGGATTTCTGCATCACTTTCTTCCTGTACCACATTCCATCTGAGATCCCTGGGACAGACCTGGCCTGATGAATTGCAGGAAGCACACCAGGGAGGGACAAGGTCCCGCAGACAACGTCCACCCCCAGGATGGGATAGCGCCATGGGGACCCAGGGCCTCTGCTTTGGGGAAAGACCTTGCTGAGGGCCCAATGGGCAAGAACAAGTGTGAAGAACCCTACCATGATTTTTTACCCAATGCCCTCCACAAAGCCAACGTTTGAAGGAAAACTGTGAAGAAGAAGGGACACTCCGTGGTGTTGCTGTTGCCACCTCTGGAGCAGCTTGTGGCAAGAATGGTCTTGGTCCAACCAGGTCAGTGATACTTTTTATGATGGGGCTGTGTGGGACCTGACCCGACTCTTGCTAACCAGATTTCTAAAGCCATCTGCAGGGTCTTTTCTCCTATTATTCCCCAGGGCATGGAGGGCAAACAGATTCTACCTCCATGATCAAGAGGTAACAATTGGTAGAGACTATCTGGAGCATGCTGGTGAGAAGGATTCTGAGGCCACATCTATATGCAGAGGGAGAGAGTGATGTGTCTATTAGCAATATCTACCACAGGAGCAGGAGGCAACCCCACACCATTTTGTATTTGCCGTTCCTGCTCTCGATGTCATTCTCTGAAATGAATCCTGCAGAGAAAGAATAATCAGAGCCAATTCTCCATTGGATTGTCCTTTTGGTAAAGGGCAAATTTTTCCATTTCTATCTTTTCCATGGCTTCCCTGGGATCTCATGGACCATTTCCCCTGCTACCAATTGCTGTTGCCTGCAGCCTAAGAAATAAAATTTTTAAATACCTATAATTCTCTCTAAAATCATAAACAATGTGTCAAGGCCAAACACCTCCCCAGTGTGACTTATTCATATATGGACTTATTCTTGTATAATTAGCAGGAATAATCATACCCTGAACCAGCTAGCAGAGCCCCTGGGGACAGAGACCACCCAGAGACGATCCTTGTTCTCCTGAGTCACAGAAAGGGAGTCACACAAAGCAGGAGTGGAACTCAGGTATCCTGAATTCTAGTCCCAGCTCTGCCTCTACCTATCTACATGACCTTGAGCAAATTTACCCCTCAGAGCTTCAGCATTTTCATCTTTAAAATGAGGGCATTGGCCCAGGCAGTTGCTACATTTCCTTCCAAGTCTCACATTCTAGGATGCTAATGGGTAAAATTATAGAGCTGACCCAAGAGTTATTAGTTTATA